CACGCGGGCCGCGGCGCGCTCGCCTACGCGGCGCGGCGCGGCCACGCGGACGTCGTCTGCCGGCTCCTCCGACGGGCGCCGCCGCCGGACGCGGCCGAGGTCGACGCGCGCGACGAGGCGGGTCGCTGCGCGCTCGCCGCGGCCGCGGACGGCGGCCACGCGGCCGTCGTCGACGCGCTGCTCGGCGCCGGCGCGGACGCGGCCGCGGCCGACGACGGCGGCCGCGCGCCGCTCCACTGGGCCGCGGGCCGGGGCCACGGCGCCGTCGTCGACGCGCTCCTCGCCGCGCCCGGCGCGGCCGCGGCCGCGGCCGCGCGCGACGCGACCGGCCGGACACCCGCGGACCTCGCGCGCGACGCGGGCCACGGCGACGTCGCCGCGCGCGTCGAATCGCTCCTCGCGCCGGACCCCGCGCCCTAGGGCCAAACTTCCATTAGGATGCTATTTCCAGGCGAACTCCAGTGAATCGTGTTCTGACCATTGCCGTGGTGCGAACAAAAAAAAATCCGACTCGACGACCACCGACGAAGGGACTTGCGCCACCGCCCTATTCCGAGCTCGAGCTAGCTCAGTCGAGGGACTATTAATCGAAGATCGGGAGTAATCGAAGCCGCCCTCGCCCCGAAGAGCATGAGCCTGAGCCGACCACGAGCTCCGGCTCAGGCTCGCACCGTGACGACGTCGCGCGCGCTCGCCTTGAGAAGCGACGAGCAGGCCGGGCCGTGGCGACGTTAGATCCGTGGGATGGTTACCACGGTCTGAGACGCCTCGTGCAGCTCACATATGTATAATCGTAGAAAGGTGTGGTCGGTCGCTGGAAAAAAAAAGGGGGGGCGGGTGGGGTGGAGCCGCTGGAGACCACTCGTGACACCGGAAATACGCTTGTTTTGGCTCTATCGACCAGTTTTGATCTCGAGCTCGAGCAAACTGGTGGTTTTGACGCTCGATCATAAATTTCGACCGTGCCGTGTGTGACTCGGACAGTGTGGAGGTCCGAGTCGTGGCCGAGCAGCCCTCCAGCTGCCGATCGGCCAGAACGGGCGGTTCACAGGCTTCGTTGACCCCATGATGCAGTTGTTTTGACCACTCATTTTGAGCAAGTCGCGACTCTATGTGGGTGGGGTGATGGTGCATGCTGTCGTGGGGTGGTTCACTGCCGGCCTCTTCGGTCACCTTCTCTGAGAAATCCAAGCGCGACACACCACTGAGGTGCGTCCGACGGGGCAGCCATGGCGGCCCTCGCCCCGTCGGAGTCGCAGCCGCTGCTCGACGGCGGCGACGCGCCGCGCGGCCTGGCCGTGGCGGCGTCGGGCCTCAGCTACGCGGCGCCGGCGTCGCGCGGGCGGCCCGGCGCGCTGCTCCTGCGCGACGTCACGCTCGTCGTGCCCCGGCGGGGCGTGCTGCCCGTCATGGGCCCGTCGGGCAGCGGCAAGTCGACGCTGCTCGAGGTGCTCTCCGGCCGGCGGCGCGGCGGTTTCGCGAGCGGCGAGGCCCTCTTCGGCGGCTGGCCGCTGTCCGCGCACCGGCGGGGCACGGTCGCGTTCGCGCCGCAGGACTGCGCGGACCTGCTCGACGGCGG